TGACGAACATTATTTTCATGGCGACACAACGTTTGTATGCAGAACCTGCATGTTACAAATGTTGCGTATTCAGACTTCTACAGACAAATTTCTGAGATCTTGATTTACCGGTCGGGCCTCGGTGTCACATACAATTTCGCTTGCTGCCATTGCCGTCTGTTCGCGTGAAACGTACTGTCAGACCGGGAAAAGCCGAATTAATATCACAATCGCGACCGGCAAAAATGAACTTAAAGACGTTCGGATTTGGTTTTCATATTCGAGATCTTTTATAACGTATTTACCCTGCGTCTCAGCAATTTTTTTCAAATTCCCGGGTAATTCCCAAGGCCTGGCAGTCACTCTGCTCCCAGCAATCTCTTTCTGATTGACCCGCTGTCGCGGTAGCGGAGTTTAGCGGAGGAAATGGCGGTAGCGGAAATCCGCTACTAAATAGCGGAATATTGAGACCCATGAGATCTATGCCTTGGTTACGAACCAATGCAGGCGGTTCTAGAAGAAGGCCACAAACGCACACAAACTCAAGCAGACTGATGCACACAAACTTGAGCTGCGTGAATGGGGATCAGATGTGGGACCCGAATTGAACGGGAGATGATACTCGGCGCGCGTGCGCTGAGCCAGGGGCCAGACTGATGCGGGACCAGAACGCAGGCAAGGTGCCGAAATAGGCTTATCGGGCAACATAAACCCGGTCCCTGCAGGACGAGCGTTAAAAAGGGCCGGCGTGCTTCCCAGGGTTTAAGTTTTTCCACTTTTGTTGTAGTGTCTGGTTTGGTGATCTTATACTTTAGCACGTTAAATTCTCCAAGTCTACTAGATTCTAGATCTAATCCCCGACTCAGACCTTCAAAACTTTGAACTGGACCTAAAAATGCGCAAACTACCGTAATTTTGTCATGAACAGGTATAAACAGTGGTTTTCGGTCTTCCATCATGATTTGGGAAGCCATTGAGTAATCTAGATTAGATAGACTTAAGATCTTGTTTTAAAGTGGTCGCTCGTTACGGAAAAGGGAATAAAATCAATCGAAGAATTTAACGTGCTAAGATCACCTCTGGTTTGACAGTTTAGTGACACCTACAAAGTCACAAAGCCTAGCTTGTGAAGTGGAGGGCCGTACACATAGTATAGCCTCGGGCTGTAGTTATTCGCACAGGGTGTGTGAATACTATGAAATTTTATTCGCACAGGCTGTGCGAATACTATGAAGTTATATTCGCACAGGGTGTTTCAAAAGAAGGATGGATATCGGGCCTACCATTTCCTCATTTTTTCCCCTCATCGCGCAAGGACAAAGATCTTAGGGGGCTGGATTGAACCAGAGAGTTGATTGAACTTTGGTGGACCCGCCGTGTTTATATATGTATTAATGCGCACTAGGCAAACAACGATTATAATAAACAGAAAAGTGGACCAGGAACATTTAATAGTTTGCTCTGCCCAAGAACTTTACTTTATAGTGGACCCACATTGCCAGCCTAGGCTAGGCCTAAGAGGTACCATGAGACTAATTAGAGACGATAGAGGGGCGGGTGAAGTTTACCAGACCAGTGAAAAGAGGGGGAGACATGGTGGAGGTATCTAGATTTGTTTCTAACGTGTACTGTAGCTATGCTGTCTTCTCAATTCAGTTCAGACTTTTTCTTCTCTTCGCTTACTTGGGCCAAGACTTGACCGTAGCCTAGATTCTAGGAGACATGAAGAATCGGGAAGGATTTTTACCTGTCCTGTACCGTGGTCTCCATAATCCGTATTAGATCTAGATCTAATATACATGATGTATAACAAGCAAGCATAGAATGACCATTCCTTTCTTTTAAAAAAAAATGTTCCACTCACACCAGAATCTACTCTTAAATATCTAGATCCACATTAGATAAAGAAAAATACATGTGTGTATAGTCTGTATTTAGTAACCCATCATCATCATGCCCATGTAGATCATAGTGGGAACAATAGATTTAGATATCTAATGGGCCTGTCTGTTCTCAGTGTCACTGGGAATAGTTTCTTGGCCTCATCCCAGTGACACTGGGAACAATTCTGGCCTATTCCCAGTGCTTTCCAAAATTAAAACCCTTAGCCTAAAACTAAAGGTGGGATACCTGGGTGTGACAAATGAGGTCCAAAATCAACTTTATGTAGTAACTCTGTAGTAATACATCATATTATTTATGGCCGAATGATTGCAGTTTTACTTTTAGGGACTGTTCACAAAGACCCCACCCCTCTTGTCACCCTTCCCAGGACACACCCCCCCCCCCCTCAAGTTGCCGTCAACCAAAATTATGTACACATGTGTACGTTTAGATAGAACTTGTACAGGGTGCATTTGCACCTTTGATTTTTTAAAATTGTTTATTAATTTAAAGAATACAATAACGAAGTGTATACAGACCCGGTAACCGGGAACAAAGTCACGAAGTATACAGACCCGGTAGGGGAACTCTTTTGTGATTTCGGAAAGTTTGAGCGCCCAGCCCCGGTAGAAATCTTGTGTGTGTGTGTGTGTGTGTGTGTGTGTGAGAGAGAGAGAGAGAGAGAGGGAGAGAGAGAGAGAGAGAGAGAGAGGGGGGTGCTAGCAAAATGTATGACATGCCCCAGTTAGCAGGAGGGAACGAGAGAAAGATAAAGTGGGAAATAGGGAAAGACAGAGACAAAGAAAGAAAGAGAGAAGGCGAGCGATACACAGAGGAGAGAGAGAGAGAGAGAGAGGGGCAGAGAAATAGAGAGGGTGGCTGCTCGATTAAAATTAAATGACATTGTTCTTTTCTTCAAATTGTGATTCCTCCAACTCCAAAACGGAGGAAAAACGATCGTTCATCGAAAAGACATCCGCAATCTTCATTTGGATATCTAGATATCTAGATCTAGATCGATTTAGGCTAGCCTCGAAACTAGATCAAAGATTTATGTCCGTCTGCCTAGATCTAGATCTAGATCTAGACCTAGGCCATAAATATCTAGAAGATCCTAGGTTTGCCCTGAGCCAAGACGGCGCTGAAACTTTCCGAAATCACAAAAGAGTTCCCCTACCGGGTCTGTATACTTTGTGACTTTGTGACTTTGTTCCCGGTTACCGGGTCTGTATACACTCCCATACAATAAAGGTGGCACTGCCCCTGCTTGCACTGGAACCGGATCGACTGGTACGTGTACGTATACAGCACTCAAGGGGTCTGTTTGGCCAATTTTGGTGGATCGTGTCACCACAAATTTTGTGTTGTTAGTACTTTCTTATTCTTTCAGAGCCTCTGTGAACTCTGAAAAGCTCTTGAACTTGGCTCCCACGTCCATGCTGAATAGATCTAGAAAAACTAGAACTAGATCTAGGTGTTGAGTAATTTCAGATTTGCGATGCAATAGCCTTGGGGCCAACAGAACGCTACTGGCAAGATTCCCTCAGGGCTCTGTTTTGACAAATGAAAATGCCACGCAGGTAAGCTTATTATATAGGCCAAGACTGCCTAGTTTCGCGGACTCTCGCGGCATTTGCCAATCTCGCACAGCGCTCGCAGCGCGCAACGATCTCGCGCAGCACGTAGGTCGGGTCGACCCTGTGCGAATATAATTATTTCTTATTTGCACACCCTGTGCGAATAATATTAATTCTTATGCGCACACCCTGTGCGAATAATATTAATTCTTATGCGCACACCCTGTGCGAATAACCACTTCCATAGCCTCGATGCTAGGCGTACGGGAGGGCTGTAAGGCTAGATCTAGATCTAGAGATAATCTAGATGGCCACCTCTATTCTCACCCGGAGTGAGAATAGTGCAGGCGAGTCTTGTGGCTATTCTCACCCGGTGCGCGTTCACCAAATTTTGCGTTCACCCTAAACCACAGAATTCTACACTGTGATAACAGAAAAATTGTAGAATTCTGTGCCGTGAACAAACGTTCCATTACAACTGTAGCCTACTAAAAGCGTACAATTTTGTCTGTGGGCAGTGGAGAGAGAGAGAGAGAGAGAGAGAGAGAGAGAGAGAGAGAGAGAGAAAGAGAGAGAGAGGAGTAGCGCGAGAATTTCCGGGCAAAACAAAATGGCGACCCGCGTAGTTCGGCTCGATTCGAAAAGTTAAATAGCCGTAGCATCTTTGTAGACAACCAAATTAATTTACTTTTGTTTTTTAACATCATTTTACATTTTTAACTTTGTTTTGGTCAATTTGATCGTCCACACCGATAGACAGTATGTATTCAGAAAGAGACAGAGAGAGAGAGAAGAGGGGAGGAGTTGATCTTGCGAGAACTTCCTGGCGGGTGAGAATAGCCACTTTCAATCTAGATCTACACTACATAGACCCATACTACTCATAGTCTAGATCTATAGACTATGATAATATGATATGCCATGCATAGCCTCTATAAAATTACTCTATAACTTTTAACTATAACGGTCCACAACTTACGGTAGTCCAAGATGCCAGTGATAGGTCTAGATGAAGATGCTTCATTGTTATCTTCAGCCAAATCCACGACTGAAAAACAACAAACAAGGAGTACAGTCACACTAAATAATGGGTTCCAATTCATGTTGTATGAGAACAAAAGTTCAAGAGATTGTTGTGTTCTCGAGAAAGCACACGGACTTGCTCGTTTGATCACTTCACCCAATCTATGTCTTTGACTTTATGTTGCAACTAGTGATGGGCAGGTATCGATACTAGATATTCGATACTTAGATACATATAGGTATCGGTATCGGTACCGATACCTGCTCTAAACATCGATACCTATGTGTGATTTATCCCAGGGCTGCCAAGGAAGTGACTTGGGCTTTGAGAATTTTTTGTTTATCAAAACTGATAAGTTTTCATGGGGGGGGGGGGGGGGGGGGGGAGCGTTTTAAATGAATCTAGAATCTAGTGATTTTTTTAACAAAAAGAGAGAAGTTTTTCAAGAAACCTATCTAGTGATTTTGTAAAATCCTCACTGACAACCCTGATTTATCCTCATTGGTTTAATTTAAAGTTGCTAAAAATCTGGTAAATTGAATTGCCTTTTTAGAACTCTTGTGTTTTTATATTCCAATACTAACATTTTCTGCAAAGTTGACTTTCCTCCCATACTTCACTTAGTATATGTTTTTATTCTCATACTTGGGTATTTATTTCTCTCTCTCTCTCTCTCTCCCCCTCTCTCTCTCTCTCTCTTTTACAAATAATTTTTGTTTGAGTCTCAGCAAAATAGTCACAACTTGTCTAGACACGATTACCTAAATACTTGGAAAAATATACTCGTATTTTTGTCTTTACTTATTACCCCCGGCGTATGTTAGCATTAGGTATCGAGGTATCGGTATTGATACCTTGAAAAAGTACTAGGTATCGACATCGATACCTAACTTGTGGTATCGGCCCATCACTAGTTGGAACTCTCGTCTTTGTAAGGGACATTACTCTGAAAAATTGTTTTGTCGGTCGTCAGGTTTGCCAGATACAAAGTTTCGATTGAGACTTACATAATAAGAATATTTAGGTATACCTAATTGTATAGAGGTAAATTCTTTGACTTCAAGGGATATGATTTTTAAAAGTCAAAACAGATTACACTTTTTTTGAGAGTTCATAGCTGAAAAAGAAAAATTGATGAATTTCGTGTTTCATAATGAAATATATTATCGACACTGTGTAAGATTAAGCGAGAACTCTCTGGATGGAGAGAACGGGACCTTACAATTTTACTGTATAGATCTAAACCTTGAGAAAAAAGCAAATTCGTATTGCCACTTGGGATGCTCGTTGTGCACCACGATTTCATTTTTAAAAAATTCAACAATCATTAATAATTATGTTTGAACAATGGTCTCAGTGACTGTAATATGACTCATCCATTAAGCAGTGACATTTAGTCAAATACTAACTCATACATTTTGCTTCAGCTCAATCACTCAAGAGAAAAGAGTTTTGACTTAAAATTATTATGCGGATTCTCTGATTGCATCCGTAGAGAAAAGAGACCAAAAAAAGAAGAAAAAACCCCCAAAAACCAAAAAGAACAGAAAATTAGTAGAGTGTCGTTGGCCTTCGACTAAGACTGTTTATAGCTGTTTTTTGGGGGTTTTTTTAAAATTGGGAGGACGTATGTTGTCCTTATGCGACGTTTCCGGAGGTCCGCACGTACGACGTGAGTGTGTAATTTTTTTTTTAT